ATTTGACCCTCTAACTCTAACACTTTCTATTCTATTTTAATTCTACTTTATCTATATTTATCTTTTTTTTTTATTCTTTATTTAAAAAAAACAACAACAAAAAAACAAAAACTAGCTTTCTATTTTTTCTATTCTATTTACTTGTTTTTCTTTGTTTGTGTGTGTATATATATATATATATATATATATATATATATATACACACCTTGCTATGTGTACTCCGTTAGGCTAACCGAGACTTGTCATTTGCACTTATATATTGTTGCTCTTTTGTTAATTTTGACTGCTTTTATTGTCCTCATTTGTAAGTCGCTTTGGATAAAAGCGTCTGCTAAATGACTAAATGTAAATGTAATGTAAATGACTAAATCTAAAAGTACGAAAGTACATGCTTTTAAAAGTACTTAAGTATCAAAAGTAAAAAGTAAATGCATTGTTTTATTGTCACATTGTATACTTACAATACCTTATGCCACTAATGCAACCTACTGAATACACTGATTAGCTTGTATTATCTTTGGAATTAAGAGCTTTTATGTTACCAAACCTATAGAAATGGAACAACTGGATGAAGATAATCAACTTTATTTTTTATTTAACACTCCTACAGCTACATTGAACTCATTTTAATACTTGTTTAAAAGTTACAAAGTTATTTTTCAAAGAGATATTGAAGGCTATGATATGGTTCATTTTAGGCAAACAAAGCAAACATTGAAAATAAAAAAAATAAAAAAATCTTTAGTCTTTCAGAATACTGGAACATACTCTCTCAGTATGGCCATGGGTGTGCAAGTTTGCAAGTGCAAAAAAAGTATTTTTGAATTTTGCCATCAACTGATCAGTGTTCATAAAATGCTCATAAATAAGTGAACGTCACAACATGTGGCTAGGGTTTGGTATTGTTTTAATTTTATTTTAATTTTCTGCTTATTGATTTAAATTCTTATCGATTCCCAGTTTAGATTCCAAAGTTGTAAAAAAGTGAAGTAAAACATTTTGACCTGTGTGATCATTTAACCTACTTATTGATCATTTATTTGCAAAAAAATATATATGTATTTATGTGCAGTTTTGACAATAAAATAATGTTCAGATTTATATACTTCCTTGACCAGTTTTTAGCAGCAATTTACCAGCAGGCTCGAGTAGTAAGGTTTTTTTTATATATGGTAATAGCAGCCATTTTTGACGGATATATTAGCCTACCATTTGTATTGCCATAGTTTAACTACAAATATTAAACTATAGTTACTATAATGTAACTATGTTAAATTTGTGGTTACTGTAGTTTTACTACAAATAGCATAATTATGGCTACTATAGTGAGAGAATAGTACATTTGTGGATACTGTGATTTTACCGCAAATACCATAGCTAAACTAGTTACTATAGTAAAAACATTTTACTATACAATTTAATGAGTTAACACATGCGAGTTCAAACAGAATAAAAACTATACATTTTCTCTGTCATGTAGATCAAGGTGTAGGTCATTTCATTTATCTTCTATGATCTTTGATCGTAGCGCTCGGCCTACGTAAGGCATCACATACAGTTGTCTATTTAAAATCAATATGGTGAGCACACAGATGATCACACCACACTAATAAGTGCTTTTTTCGTCTTTTATTATATTATTTGCCTTTTTAGAGCACTTTTAGCTGTGCAGTAGCGCAGACGTTAACATTAGTTTAGGTCCAGAGGTTGCCAGATTTGCATAAAAAAATCAGCCAAACATCCATTCAAAGCTAGGCGGAAAACTGCAGGCTTAGAAATACTGTAAGACTTGGCAACACTGGAAAGTCCTGGCAGATCGCAGGCCGGATTTTAGCAAAAAAAGGGTTCAGTGAATAAATGCACACACTGGAAAAACTGCTACATATAATGACTTTCTACTTGGGGACCTTGATATAAATGTAGCGGAGTAAAAAGTACAATATTTGTCTTTCAAATGTAGTGAAGTTGAAGTAGCAAGTTTCCAGAAAAAATAATACTCAACTAAAGTACAGATACTCAAAAAGTGTACTTAAGTACAGTACTCAATTAAATGTACTTCGTTACTGTCCACCTCTGCTGCTGAGGCACTACTGAGCCTTCAGCTCGTCTGTATTGTTGGATCGACTGTCTCATCTTTCTTGCTGGCCAATTAAGCACAGTAATATCATGGTCAGCAAACCACTTGGAAGTGGTTTTGGCACTGTGGGTAGGTGATAAGTCCTGCTGGAAAAGGAAATAAGCATCTCCAGAAAGCTTGTCAGCAGATGGAAGCATGAAGTGCTCCAAAATCTCCTGGTAGATGGCTGCATTGACTTTGGACTTGATAAAACACAATGGACCAACACCAGCAGACGTCACAGCACCCCAAATCATCACTGACTTCGGGAACTTCACACTGGACTTCAAGCAGCAGATTCTGTGCCTCTCCAGTCTTCCTCCAGACTCCAGACCTTGATTTCCAAATGAAATGCAAAATTAACTTTTTTGCGAAAAGAGGACTTTGGACCACTGAGCAACAGTCCAGTTCTTTTTCTCCTTAGCCCAGGTAAGATGCTTCTGACGTTTCTGTTTCAAAAGTGGCTTGGTAGCCCTTTTCCTGAAGATGTCTGAGCGTGGTGACTCTTGATGCACTCAAGAGTCTCAAGAGCTGTTGACTCCAGCTTCAGTCCACTCCTTGTGAAGCTTTCCCAAATGTTTGAATCTGCTTGACAGTATTCTCAAGCTTGCGGTCATCCCTGATGCTTGTGCACCAAAGAACAAGAGATACCCGGAATTTATACTGTAGGGATCGTCATTTAATGAAACTCAAATGTAAATATTTGAATATTTTGAGATACTGGATTTTTGACTTTCATGAGCTGTAAGCTCAAATCTCCAAATTTAAACCAAAAACTTTTGAAATGTTTTACTTTATATGTAATGAATCTAGAATATATGAAAGTTTCACTTTTTGAAATGTTACAAAAAAAAGTAACTTTTTTGACGATATTCAGATTTTTTTAGATGCACCTGTATACTAAGTACAGGCAAGCAGATGAACCTAGAATATGAAAATAGGCTAACTTTTGTCAACATAACAAGTGTGACCATCTGCTTGCACAGGGAGCGTGCTGGGGACTATTTTCAGGTGCTGCGTAATATCATTGCGCCTGCTGCACCCATATTACGGCAACAAAGTTCCTTGATTATTACGCCAGAATGAGAGTATAGTTCCTAGCCATATCGGCCTAGAAAATCGCAACTTTTCATTTTCCGTCGG